GCCAGGCGACGCACCACTCTCCATCACTAGTCACGTCTGCTGCAGGCCCGGCATCTCATAGTCCATTGGCAAATCCTTTCGTTCTATCCACGCCGCGTCCTCGCAGCCCAGGTCCACGCCCTTGGCGCAATCCAGTCGTCTCCGCGACGGGAGCTCCTTCAGCTCGACCTTCTCGCCGTCCGGACCGCCCGAGCCGCCACCTCGCACGACGACGTAGTGCTCGCCATGCCAACCCAGGAAGTCGATTGAGGGCAGCGTGCGCACGATGCTTCGCGCGCTCGACGCCCACAGCTCCGTCTGCACCTGGTATTCCTTGTCGGAGAGCAGATTTGGTTGTGGTCGGCGAAGATTCCCATTGAGGTGAAGCATTGCGAGTGACCTAAATATAGAGAAGGATGGGGCATACTCATGCTACATGATGCAGTCAGTATCAGACTAGATGCAAGCAGGGAAGACAGCGTACTATGGGCTTGGCGGACACTGCGGTCTCTAGATGGATTGCTGTGATCGCCCTAGGGATGACATCCAGCAGCGCACATAGCGATGTGTCAGTGAGATTCGCGATCCGCACCCGCAGAGCACGCAGATTCGCCAAGTCCGGAAGGACGGTCTGCACAAGATCCCACGGACAACAGCCCAGATCGAGGCGCCGCAACTTCGGCCGCTGGCGGAGGAACTGCGTGACGGACTGGAACAGATTCTGATCATCGTCGTGGCCGACCATGATGAACCGGAACTCCTCCAGGTGCGGAAGCAGCGTGTGTATGCCGTCGATGACATGGTCGCTCCCAAACACCACGCTCGCCGAACACGGTTCCTCGAACGTGCCATGCAGCGTCAGACTCTGCAGCCGGTGCGCGTGCGCGATTCGCGCGAGAACGACGTGCGATATTCGTGTGTCGACCAGCTCGAGATGCGTCAGGTTACGGATGGTTGCGGACTGGAAGGCGTGGTCCCACGAGTGGTTCCGCTGCAAGTACGCGCCCAGCGTGAGATGCTTGAGCGTCCCTTGATTCTGGTCGAGGACCGTGCGGACTTCGCCCATATCAGCGAAGCCGTCGTCGTCTTCGGCACGCAATATGAATTTGCGCAGGCCGCCGAATGCAGACTGCCAGCCAACAATTCAGCTTGTACACATGCTGCGCGAGGTCGCAGAGATCACAAACATACCACGCCAACGGCATCAAAGTGCCATCCTATGAGACCGAGAGTGTGCAAATTTGGATGGGTCTGCAAAACTGCCTGCACCATCTCGGCGCGCAGTTCTGGATACCCTATCCATTCAAATTCACGCAACGCGATGAATGCGGGCAGCGCGGACTTGAACATCCCTAGCATGCGAACAGTGGCTCAGGCATGGACAAATCATGGAGTGGGAACGTGAACGGCTCACGAGTCATGAGATCAAACATGTCGTTCTCCTCATATGCCCAATGCAGGCGCAGGGCTTTTACGCGGCTGGCGAACACGGGGTCCGCCTTCACCCTGTCGAAGATGTCCAGGCCGCGGTTGAGGTCCTGGTCTTCGCCAAAATAGAGGTCGATCGTGTGGAAGATGAGCCGTACTGCGATGTCTCGATGGAATGCGGATACGAACAGCCAGGAGCGAAGATGATAGCGCGGGATGAAGCGGGCGATTAGCTCCCAAACTTCGGGAGGCGCACGTTGCGAGGCCGGCTCGTCGACAAAGTGAATCTGTACTCGCGTGAGCCTACTGTCAGAGCATGCAGCGAGAGAGCATCGAGGAAAGCATATATGCGGATTGTTCGTCGCCTTGCATGCCGTCGACATATGCGCCGCATACAGCGTATCGCACGGGCAGTCGGGAAGAGACGAACGATCAGGCGGAGAGGGTTCCCTTCCCGCCCACGTCTGGCGACTGCTCGACGTGCCCCTCGCCTATTCTCGTCGGCGTCCCAATGAAAGCCAGGCACACTCACCATGTTGCTTCGCCTGAGATACCCCTGCAGCTCGCGGTTCGACGGGTCCAGCTTCGCGACCGCCTGGAAGTCCTGCTGGGCCCGCGCGAGCAGCTTCTCCCCCGCCGTCTTGCGTGCGTTGCCCCGCGCGAGCAGCGCCCTCGCCACGTCCTTCTTCTCCAGCCCGGGAGTCCGCAGGTAGACGTCCAAGTAGTTTTCGACCTCATCCCCATACCTATCGCATCACGCATCGTGCATCAGCGCCCTCACACTCTTCCAAACGGCCGAACGGCAGAGACAGGGGTTCCAACCACAAGCCAGAACGAGTAGTACGCACCTGCCACCCTCTATCAGCGCGAGCGACGTCTCGAGCAGGAAGTTGGCCTTGCGGACCTGGCTGAGGGACTCCACCGCGCCGAACACGGTCGCGGTGAGCTCGTCCTGGGCGTGGCTGGGGCCGGCCATGGCGTTGGCGGTAGCGGATCGTGGGGGCATAGTGCGAAGGCGCGAACATTGAAAAGCTGCAGCCCTGCCCCTGCCGTCGCCGCTGGCGTTCCCGTGGCCAAGGATTCGGGTTTGGAGAAGAGCGTGGTACCGCCCGAGCGGGAGTGTGAACTGTGGCTTGGTCCAAAGCGCGTTCGCGGGAACCTCGCTCTCGGTGATGGAACGTACCCGGAGTAACGGTAGTGCCTTGAAGCTGTCCGTCCAATGAAAGCCCCAAGCTTACGGCTACTGCACTTTGGAGAGTATGGAGAGTTCACGTTGAGATGGGAGTAGAGGTATGCCTTTCGGCGCAACACGCGAGCAGTAGAGGAAAAGGCAGTCAATTGATCATCAGTACATTGTGCGAACGTAGCGCGCGAAGCTAAAGACGGACAAGCTACATACACTACACTCGTACGCAGAGATGGGAGCTTAACACGGGCCCATTAAGTGGGATGTACACCTACAAAGAGGTATCATGGAGACAACCCAGTGGTAGAAGAAAACAACATCATCAAGACAACACTAAACCGAGTCCGAAAGGAGTGGACGAATCAACGAATGTGGTCACGCTAGATACTGCGAGTACCAATGTTCATTGTTCACAGTGGGATGTGGGAGGCGGAGGATGGGTGCTGCACAAGGGAGAAGAGGCGAAAAGAGCCGGCGGTGGGCTCAACGAGGGGCGACCGGTGCTCTTGACGGAAGGTCGACGTCGAAATCGCTCTTAGAGGAGAAGAGCAGAAAGCGAGGCAATACCGCACGCAGCGATGACACCGAACACTCCCTCGCTGGTCGAAAGGGAGAGTGCGCTATTGTGAGCGGCACCAGTAGCAGTGGGGCTCGACGAGTTGGCGGAGCTACTGGCAGAGGTTCCAGAAGCACTCGCGCCAGAGCTGGTCGCACTTGCGGAGGCGCTAACGGGAGGAGCGGGAGCGGCTGGACAGAAATAAATCCCCGTTAGCATGTTAGAGCGAGCGCGGTAGGCATCTACTACTTACTGCCAGCAGGCTTGACCGAGAAAGTCGAGCTGTTCGCGAAAATCTGGGTAGTGTTGGACGCGTTGACGAACTGAACCTGGTAGCCATCACCAGCGCGGAGAGTGACATTGGTCCTGCATGGCTAGTGTCAGCTGGCTGTACAGTCGTCGAACGGGGTATGCGGAAGTAGTAAGACGCAAGACGGCTTTCATGGGAGTGACGGGTACGGCATCCTAGCAACCATTAGGCATGCTTGGTCAAATTTGCAGTAACCGTTATCTTAGATACCGCAGCGGGTTTGCCATAGGTCCCCAGCGGGTCTGCTGGCCTCACCACTGGCTCAAGGCTAGCTGGACGCGTGTAGCTCCCAGGTCAGGCGCGACAAAGTAACTCATAGCACTTCTGAAGAGACTGCAGAAGAGAATTCGCGTACTCACACAGTGAAAGTCTGTCATGATTCGTGAGTACTCGAGTACATTGCATGAAAGGCGGGTGCGACGAACCTGCTGGGATACATTGACAAACGGCGCGATCGCAAAAACGCCATTGAGAGTCGCGTTGTTGGCGTTCACAACGTTGATGGAAATCGGGTTGGGATCACCCTGGCTGAACTGCCAAGTAATGGTGTTGCTGGTGTTCTGAACCCTGCAGCAAATCTGCGTTCAGCCCGCCTACTAGCCTGGGGCCGACTAGAGCAGAGACGCACCAGTAGTTGGTTTCCGAGGGCCCAATTATTTGCAGCGCATCTGTCAAATTCACGCTCAATATCCTCGTCTGACCGAAATCTTGTCGTATATGACGTACTGGCAGCCGCGAGAGGGAGGGCGAGAGCAGCAGCGAGCGAGAGACGCATTTTGGAACAGCGAACGGCGCGCCTGAACGGCTTGTAGCAGCGAGGGGAGGAGGGCGGGGGGAAAAGGCAAGGAACCTTGTGGACGTGAACCGTGCGCGCGAGTTTTTGAACATGCCCTGCTTGTCTCAGAGAACTTCCTTTCTCACGGCACCTGTATTTCGATCAACCGAACGGATGTCATCAACGCTGCACGTCCGCCGCCCGGCGTTTCTGTCACGTTCGAGATTCTCCTGCATGCTCATCGCTGCCGGCACCCTTGCCCACTGCACACTGCCCAATGCCCAGACAACGCTGCCACGCACCGCGGCGATGTCATGCATGACGTCGTCGGCACAACATATGCTCGGCGGAGAGTCACTCAAGCCACTCGTTTAGCTGAACATACGAGACATACAATCTGTGGCGGAAAATCTATCGCGAGAAGTTCAGAAGCAGCGCCGCGGGATTTGTTCCGAAAAAGGACAGGAGAATTTTGTCGGGCTTTCCCGATCTTGGTTTTGCCACAAGCAAAAAGACATGGACATGTCCGGGATTGAACCGGACCCCTCTCGCATGCTAAGCGAGCGTGATAACCAACTACACCACATGCCCTTGAGACAGAAAGCTAGGTGGGCTCCCTGGCCGCGAGCGTGGGTAAACGACCTTCTTCGTTGCACGTCTTCTTTGCGAAAGCAGCTGTAACATATGGAAAAACTGCACATGGGTGACACTCATGACCGAGGACCAGAAGTTGACGCGCATGAAAGGAGCTCCTCACAAAAACAACTGGACATGTCCGGGATTGAACCGGACCCCTCTCGCAGGCGCTGACAAGTGCTAAGCGAGCGTGATAACCAACTACACCACATGCCCTTGCTGAGGCGCTCGCCCCGCACACCCACAGAGGGGCGCGCAATATGACCACCCGCCAGTTGAGCGCAAGGCAGAAGCATCATCAAACGACTTGTCTTTCGACGCCTCGGTATGTCCCCTTCGGGGTGACATACGAAAAAATTGGAACGATACAGAGAAGATTAGCATGGCCCCTGCACAAGGATGACACGCTTTCCCGGAGTGGTAGACCTACGGGTCTCAATATTTATTTTGCCGCCACCTCTGGCATACCTATACGTTTTGTTTTTCTGCGAATGTGTTACACACAAATGTTGTGCATACGTGGGGAAGGGACCCGACCATGCTATGATTGCCATGGAACGTTGAGGTTGAGAAGTACTCGCGACGGCATGCTACGAGCTAACTCAGTGCTCTGCAACCCCTACTGATGTGAAGAGTATTCATTCTAATCGTCAAGACATAACCCAAGAAGTAGACTATCAAACGCATACATGTCGTACAACAGCTCTATAGTCTATGCTATCAAGCACCACAACGACACAAGCACGAACGCGCCGCGCTCGCACCCACTCAGTTCTTCTCTTCCTTGACGTCCACGATCTCTGACGCAGGCGTCGCAGGTCCCCCAGCAGTCTTGCCCTCGATGCGCGCGCGCTCCGCCTCCTCCTTCATGCGCCGGAAGTTCTCCTCCTCGTCCCACACGAACGGGCTCTTGCTCATGAACAGGTAGTCCATCTCCTCGAGCGTCCGGTTCGCGGTCTCGGGGTAGAACGCCCAGATGAGCGGGATGCTCAGGAAGTTGATCGCGCCGAAGATGTGCAGCGTGTTCTCCCCGATGCGGTTGAACATGACAGGGTTTAGGAGCGTGAGCCAGCCGTTGCCTGTGTACACGAGTGGTTTCGTTAGCGATTTCGAGAGGGAACTGGCCACTGAACGATGACGTACCGATCGACCAGCCGAAGACACCGAACGCGTTACCCTTCGCACGAACTTCCAACGGGAAGGTCTCGGTCGGGTACACCCAGGGTATCGTGAGCCACGTCGCGCCGAAGACGAAGGTGTACAGGAACACGAAGAACGCAGCGGCGCCACCGTACTGTGCCGCCTTCTCCGGGTGGTCCTTGAGCAGACGCGAAAACGCGCCGGCGAGGATGAGTGAGATGCCCTGGCCAACGGCGCCCCACCAGAGGCCGACGCGGCGGCCAAGGCGGTCGATGGTGACGACGGCGAGCAGCGTACTCAACATATACGTAATCTATAGGCAAAGAATAGAATGAGAATAGTGAGAAGGCTACCCCGAGCACGTGAGGAAGTTCATTTTGACACATACATCGTTAAGACCGGACAGCCATTGAGCCTTGCGAGCACCGTAGCCAGCTTCCGCAAAGATAGTCGGCGCGTACACCGTGATGGCCGCAATACCCACCCACCTGGAAAGTTTATCTTTGTCAGCTATGGGTGTCATTGACGTGAGCATGATGTACCCACTCCTGGACGATCTGCAGCCAGATGGAGAGTTGTACGCGACGGGCGACGTGGAGACCACCGTCATTGCGGCCGAAGAACATAGAGAGGTACGAGTTGCGGCTCGCGTGCTCCTTCTCAAGCGCAACGGTCTCGACGATCTCATCGTATTCCCGAACGGCGCGATCGGCCTCGACACTGCCATCTTCAGAGCGCAGGCGGCCTAGGATTTCACGCGCCTCGGCATTCCGACCCATCTTGATCAGCCACCGAGGGGACTCCGGCATCATAGGGAGGCAGGCCTGCGTAAAACGGTAACATGAGCATAGACGTACAACATACCTACTACGGGTACTCACCATGAACGCCAGAACCGGTAGAATTTGGAAGGCAATCGGGAACTGGAGGGGTAGCGACGTCAGTGCTTCGCGTTCGGCCAGGGCAGGAACGGCAGCTGTTACGTACTCTCCACCTCACTTGGGACGTGCCATCTCCAATGAAGCCGAGACCGAACTCAAGCCAATAGGCTACGACGACACCAAAGATGTTGAGGGTGAATTCGCTAGCAATGAAGGCACCGCGCGACGTGTGGGTAGCCACTTCGGCACTCCATACGGGCACAATAGCGTTCAAATGACCAGTGCCGATGCCGTTAATCACACGAGCGCAGCACATCCTGTATGGTGCTATCAGCAAGCGTGTCAGACCTGCGAAGATGGTACATACCATGCGATATTCTGAGCCGAGCACTGAAGAGCCGCGCCGAAGAGAACCCAAAGACTGCCCAAAATCATAGTCTTGATACGACCAAGCCTGAACAATGCAAGGTGAGCACATGCGCGTTGCAGAAAATCTTGTATAGCATACCTGTCGCCGAGAATGCCTCCCATGAGGCATCCAATAAGGGTACCGAAGTAGTAGATGCTGACAATGCCACCTTGACGGGTGGGCTCCGTGATTGTTGCTACATAGCCCTCTGAGGGGCCTTCATACCTGCAAGCCACAAGCCTTGAGCACAGTGCGACCCCCGGAGCGACATGATACGTACGTGGAATATCCGAGCTTCATGACCCGAACGTAGTCGGGGGAGGTGTTGACACCTGTGCATATAGTCAGTCGGCAAGCCAACATCGCGTAGGGGAGTAAGTCCACATACCTCCCATCATGCCTTGGTCATAACCGAAGCTGGAGTGCTAGGTTAGACATGCCAAGGGGAGGTATGGTGTAACGCGAACACTCACAAGAAGATGGCCAGCCCTGCGACGGCGTTGATGGTATAATACAGTCTCCTCCCAGCGAGCTTCGACGCCATCTTGTGCTGCTCTGTCTCGTATGTCGCCGCTGCGAGAGGCCTCAGGGAGAGAAAAGTGTCTGGACAAGAGCACGACGATAGCAGGGCGTGGAGCGCGAGACTTTATACCACGCCCTCGCGCAATCTCGAGATCGAGGCGGTCGGGTATTGCCAAAGGGCGAAGAGGGCGGGGACGATCCTGGAAGGAAGATACCTCTGCCGAGCTCGTCGCTGCCGCTCACAGGCAGCCGTTGGGCCTCGCGAGTGTCCTGTGACCACGGTTCTGTCCCTTCGTCTGCCGTCATCGAAGACAGATTGTGCCCCCGGACCGCTACGCCGGCTGGCAATTTAGACGAGGTGGGGGAGGGGCCCCAAATCAGCAGCGTCAACGACAGGCTGAAGCGGGGTACTTACGATCATAGTATGCGGAATAACATTCCGTAGGCGGGGGCGGGGGCGCGCCCCCTGTATCGCGACACCGACGTCGGGCCTGTTGAACAGAGACGAGTGCGGGACCGAGTCAAAACGTCGGCCAACAGGGGTGATAAGCTGTCTTATACATCTTGCTGGATTTCCACGGGAGGTCAGATGGCTCCGCTAGCCTGACCAGGCGAACAGCGTCAAAGAGATGGCGACTGTTAGCGAGCGAGTCAATCGTGGTGGCGCAGGGACGATGTGCATATGACGTTGCGCACCAAGCCGGAACATTTCACCCGTACACCCCGCTCGCTCATCATGCCGCTCGACGGCGCCCACGGCTTGCGTGAATCAGACTCAGTCTGGCGGATTGTCTGTCGGATGATTTACTCTTACCTGGTTCTTGAAAACTGAAGCTCCTTCGTGTGCCCTGCCGTTTCATGTGCCTAATCGCTGCTCACGGCAAGACAGGCGTAGATGAACGCGTGGATGGTGGGTTCCAGTGGAAGAGTTGAGTAGGTTGCCGGGACTCCGCCAAAAGTCTGCGCGTCAATTGAAGTGTGGGCGCCAAACTTAGTCCCCCAATCGGCGCTTACGTGCTTTCCCCTTGGCGCTGTGGCACCTAGAACTTAGCGCTCGCTCGTTCAGCCGTCCACTCTGCCCTCCTTGGGCGAAACGCGACATGTTCGGCGTCCTCGACTGCACCCATTAGATACAGTGCTCATCTTTGGGATGGAGGGCTACGCGGGGCACAGTGGTAAGTTCAGCGAAGTCTGCCAAATATGCTAATTGTCTCCTGAACTCTCACCTCATACTGTACATGTCACTCCATGCGCAGCATATGAGTTGGCCATGGGTCGAACGGCAAGTTATCACGGCGAGGATCCCTATATAACACCCGCCGAGCTTCTCATGATGTGCACCAGCCCTCGGGAGCGCATTCATGCTGTAAGTGATAGTGTTTGTCTGGATTGTATAGAACACAGCGCGTAATATGCGCGTACGCGCTCGTGCCACGCATATGCATCTAGGCAAGTGGTGAGTAGTCCCATGGTCACTTGCGTGGTCTTGTCGTGTATTCTGGCGACAGGTATGCAGCCTAACCGAGTATAACTTTGGGTCGTGTCTTGGGATGATTGAACCGTCCGGTCGTAGCACTCTGACTGACATGGCATGAGAGCTTTCAGAGAATAGGTAGACTGCTGAGATGCTGTATGCTCGCCCGCTCATCCATGCGGTCTCTTTCAGAAGAGGCCCCAGTGACTCCGCACGAATGGAACAGAACTCGCTCATCTGACATGTTCAGAGGCATATTACTCAACCCCTCGTCAGGATTTCTCGCACCCATTTACTCGTCAACATGTCAGCAGCCACTAGCTAAACGCATAAACAGGCAAGAGCTATTCTCTCTACGTCAACACTCACGGTATCTCCGGAATTTCCGCGCGTCACACGCTGCTGGACGATCCTCCGACCGAAGGGCCAGGCTTTCCTGCCGCGCCCGAGGCGGGGTTTTCGAGCGTTGACATCGACGCGTAGCGCACCGTGTCTACTATCTCAGGGTCGCGTCGGTCTCTGGGCTCGAGACCCCTGCGAACAGTGGGCGCCAGCCGCTCTACCCTCGAGCGTGCGAACGGCAGCTGCGAATGCCTTCTCTGCATCGAGCCCCCACCTTTCTCGCGGGAAGCTGCCCCCTTACGTCGTCTCCTCACCACATGCGATAGCTTCGGTGTGGCGGACGCGTCAGCCCTCTCTGCTTCGTGACCAATCCGGGTGCAGTGCCGCTGCGCGCGAAGGCCCAACCTCATTCAGTCTCTGCAATGCGATAACGCCCGGGAACCCAGCG